TCCCCCACGTAAAGCGATTGAGCCCACTTCTTTCGTTGGCTGGTGGAATCGCCCCCTGTATTACCACCGGTGATCATGATGATGTGGCATTTCTTCTCCTGGTAGTGGGGGTACTCCTCCTCCTCTTCCTCCAAGTTTCCGATCTCCCTCTTCTTGCCGAGGGGGATGGTGTTCGGATTTACCCAGGCATTTACCTTCGTATGGTGCCCTCGGGGAGGTCCCTGATGAGAAGGTCCCTCCTGCCGAGGGCTCTGGACAAACTGGGACAGGTGCCCCGCCTGTATTAATCTCTCGATGGCCGTCTTCAGCTGATGGCAGTCATCGGTCATGTGCCCCTGGTGCCGATGGAAGCGACAGTAGGGGAACTGAGGGTTGATAGCGTGTACCTCCGGGGGTGCGCGAGAGTCGCGCTCAACGAGGCCCCTCTCCTCGGCAAATCGAGGATGATGCTGACGGGGTGCGTCAATGGTGTCCGAGGGCGATCCAGGAGAATGGGCTGGGCCCAAGTCTTAGGGTTGCTCTTATAACCTCCCCCAGGCTTGGCTTGGCCTTGCCGAGGGCGGTCATTAGAAGGTCCCGAAGCCTTGGGGTGATTTGGAGGAGCCCCCGGCCCTCGGTTATGCTTGTTGTCAGCCCTCGGGGGCTGCTGGTCCGGATGCTGGTGATACTTCTCCACCTCCTCGGCCTCATCATATCGGTCCCCCCGCTGCAAAGCCCTTATGTAGTCGCGGGGGGGTTCAATGATGAGGCTCCTTGAAAAGTTACCGGTGCGGAGGACGGTTAGTAGGAGGGCCAGGAGGGTCCCGTCATCAGCACCGTCGACCTTATCGGCCTCCGTCCTCCAGCGCTCCAGGAAATCCCGAAGGGTCTCATCCTTCTTCTGGCGTATTGTTAGGAGGTGGGAGAAGTGCTTCCTTGTGCGACGCCTCCCGGCAAATTGCGTCAAGAACCGCTGGGCGAGTTCTTGCCATGAATCAATACAGCCCTCGGGCAGCCTGTTGAACCATTCGTATGTCGGTCCCTCTAAGGTGGAGAGGAACCATCGACACAAATATTCGTCTGACGCCCCCACCATCATCATGTTGTTCTGGTATTTGCTGTAGTGTTCCTGGGGGTCCGTTTTCCCGTTGTAGGGCTGTATGTGTTGCCCTCGGTATTTTTCCGGGATCCGGGCCGCCAATACCCTTGGGGTAAATGGCGTCCGAGTCCGGAGCTGGATGACGGGTTCCCCGGAGCCCTCGGCCACCCTCTTCTGTAACTCCTCCATTTTGGCCATCATGGCCTCGTATTTGAGATCTGAATGAGGGGTGGAGGTGGTGGCGTGAGCTTTGTTGGACTCCATCTCGTCAAGCCGGCGTTGGAGGGCCGCAATAATCTCGTCCCGGGGATCCTTCGGGAGGGTCTCCGCCCCCTGCGAACGAACCCGGGCCGAGTGGGCCTGGTTGATTTGGTGCCGAGCATCATCGGCATGAAGGGGTGCCTTGCCTTTGTCCCGAGGGGGACGCTCCTCGTCTGCCCTCGAAACAGATCCCCCGCTTTCCTGGGGCCTTTGGAGTGCTTTCCCCCCTCGGCGGTCTTGGACCCCTCGGCGGTCTGGCCCTCCTCCGAGCCGGTTGAGGGCGGAAGTACGGGGCCCTTCCCTGTTGTCATTATGGCGGTCCCGGGACTGAACTTCCTGGGAGGATGTATCTTGGGCCACCACCCCTTCATCGTTTCTCACCCGAGGGGTGGGATTTCCGAAGGGGTGTGGCAGAGGGGGAAGTATGATATTTTCCCCGATCTGAGGGTGAGCTGGAGCCAGGGTGCCGAAGGCACCCGGGTTCTGGGTGAGCGTCCAGATGAAAGCGGAGAGCGCCGATTGCACGTCGATGGTGAGAACCGGAGGGCTGACTTGGTCATCGCTCCGGTTTTTCTTCTTGGCCTCGATGCCGAGGCGGGCATCGGGGGCATTTTGTTGGATCTGAAGGCGTAGGTCGACAGCCGCCTGTTCCAGCCCAGCGATGACACCGCCCTCGGGAGCCCTGTGAGAGGCTTCGGGGGCGTTGACGTCGCCGAGGGCCAGGTTCTTGTCTTCTACGTTCTTTGAGTTGGCACGTGTTGTCCTCACCATTTTGATAGAGGGCTAGTGTTTTGTGTTTGGTCGAGGGGGAGGGTTTCTTACTCGATTGTTCAACCTCTCAAAGAGAGCACCAAATGATGGATAGTCTACCCGGTGGTATATATCCGAAGGGTTATTTCGGGGAATAACTTAGAGAGAAGTCAGAGCAAGTAAGTAAAAGTAGAGAGAGAGTGTATTCAGTATGAATGCCGGTTTCAGCGTGGTTACAAATGAGGAAATGGGGTGCTATTTATAGTAGCAATAAATGTCGGGCAGGGACACGTGTCAAGCGCTCATTGGCCGAGGGGTCACCTCAACTGGTTGGCGCTGGCAGCCGCATGTGGCCGCATTTAATGTGGCTGTTGGATGGGACGTCTGTGCGGGGTACGGTGATCTGTACGCATGTGAGGCGGATATCTTGTCGAGTGAGATGCCTTCGGCTATAGAGCAGTAGCCGAGGGCTCTTCCACCCGATGGCACCCTGGTGCCGAGGGCTCACAGTGCCGAGGGCTACTGTTTTCGCCGTTTTCTCCCAGTTTCTTAATTTGCTTGAGAAACCCGTTCTGTGAGAATTTAGAGCCTTCGGCCAGGGGCCGAAGGCACCCCTGGCGCGTAGTGCGGGCTGCTTGGTACTCTGGGCGCTGTGATTTGGGCCTGTTGGGCCTGTTGGGCCTTCGCTGGAGTAGTAGGAGTCTGTGGGCCGGGGGTTCCCGGGCCATATACTCCATCACATGTCATGTACTCTATTAATCCACTCAAACAACTTAATTAATCATATTAAAGTTGGCCAGAAATTAACATAATAAATTAAGCGAATAAGAACAATGGATAAAACTCAATCAAATGACATAACTAAAATCACAATTCATACTAAATCATAGCATATTGCACGGGTTTATTTTGTGGTGTAACACGCATACATTAAGATGTAACTCGCTTATATTAAGATGTAACTCGCGCAGAAAAAAAATGTAACTTCATGATGTATTATCAAATGTAACTTCAAGAATCAAAATAAACAAACTCAATGTCTTAAAAACCTCTAAAAACATATAAAAGTGATAAAAAATTATATTATAGAAAAAGTGTGTCCATATAAAAAATATTACAAAAATGTGTATGATTATAAAAAATATTTTACAAAAAAAGTATATGAATATAAAAAATATTACTGAAACAAAAACGGTGTATGAATATGAAATGCAATATACTTATTTTATTTAGATTAATAAACTTTTTGTTATATATGTTGGAAAAATGTGTTAAAATTGCATTAAATGGTCTTTTTGGGGCAATTATTTAAGTGGGGTCCACTTCCGATTTGGGTCGGGTCAAAGTGGTTTCGGATTGTCCTTGTTAAGGGCTACAATTCGATATATGGTACACTCAAAACGGATAACGGGTGAATGAGAAATTGATTCTCGAAGTTCACTCGTTGAAATGGAAAAACTGGGAAAATGGTGAGTTTCTAGTGTGTTTTATCCCACACCGAAAAACTCAAGGGATTTTCACCCCCTTATAAAGGGAAGCCTCTTTTAAGGAGTTAAGATTCCTAAGGGTAAAGGCTCTCTCTTACGCACAGGGGGGGTGCCGATCAAATCCCGAAACGGCGAAGAAAAACCGCGACTCGTGTGCGCGAGCGACCTGCGGACACGAATGTCGTCCGAAAACCTGCTTTTATTTTTGTTTCTTCCCGTAACGTTTTATTTTTTCCCAGAATCAGAGTTGCTCGAACTCTGGCGGCTTCGGACCAGAGTTGCTCGAACTCTGGTGGCTTCGCATCAGAGTTGCTCCAACTCTGGTGGAGGTCTTCTGGTAGCATCAGAACTGCTCCAACTCTGGTGGAGGTATTCTGATCGCGCACCAGAACTGCTCCAACTCTGATGGGGGTATTCTGATCGCGCACCAGAACTGCTCCAAGCCGTTACAACCATTAAATGCCCAACGTTCTTGTCTTTTAATGCAACGTTAAATGGGCAGTTTATGGATGATTCAATGCCCAACGGACTGCTCATTGAAGTCCAACGTTCAGGTCCATTAACACCCCATTTAACACACAACAAATCCTCCTATAAATAGCTGGCAGGTGGTTTGCAACATCACAACGCACAATACATTCCTCACGTATTCTTGAGCTAAAAAACACCTACAGCTACTCCCAAATTTCCTTAGTGTTCTTACTTGGTTCTCGTTCGCTGGAACTCTTGTTTGTGTGCTCAAACACTAGTTCGTAGTCATCGTATCTTGGGAAACGATTGTTGCAACGCTCCTAGCACTGAGGGAGGCAACAAATACGTTTTAAGGAAATCGTGCGTAGCACGAGCTTTGACTAATTCTGCTTCTTCTCCTTTCTTGTTTTTCTCTAGTCATTTTATTTAATTAATTTATTTTAATTAATTTTCTTTATTTTCCGAAACACACCCAACAATATATTGATAAAGAATAAAAAAAAATAGATTCAATTATAATTTAATATGAAGATGAAGAAAAGTAGGATAGTCATTAAATTTTTAGTATTTTAATTTGATGGAAAAGGAAAAGAATTTTGGAACAAAAGAAAAATAAAGAAAGAAAAACAAAAGAAAAGAAACGAATGTTGCTCCAGAAAGAAAGAAAAGGAAAATAGACTTGTCTAAAGTGGGATCGGCACACCATACGAACTGCTAAAGCTCACTTTGCATTGAGTGTTATCACTTTATAATTTTGGAGAAATCACGTGATGTTAAACTTCCGCTGATAATTAGATACAAATAATTTTAGCCCAAAGTGCATAGCTTGCCCCCACTTATTTTCTTTTCTTACCTTTCTTGCTTAAGAAATATAAGAAAATTATTAAAATGATAATCTGAACTTTAATAATTTTAATCTGAACTTCAAAGAAAATTATTAAAATGATCACTCGTTTTTGAAAATCAGAGTTCAATATTACCAAAATACAAAGCTTTTGACAGGCAGATAATCTTTCTTTTAACAAAGAAATTCTCCCTCTAAGATAAATAGGACAAAAACTATTATACATAGTCATAGAGATTAGAAATAAACTCAATTAGGAAGAGAAAATAAACTTGTATTTTCACTTTGAGAAAGTTGTAACAAAATGAAAGTTGTAATCTACCTCACCTTACACAATCAAATAGAGAAGAGATTGTTTTTTTCATTGAATCTCTAACCGTCTTATTTTCGTCCTATACACAGTTTTTATGCATATGACATACACTTCTGCTAGTTTTCTATCTAATATGGGGCTTCTGAATGAATTGACCGTGTATACTCCTTATTGGTGGTGTTTGTATTTTGGCAGATGGGAAGCAACTAGGGATGGACCCGGGCCGATCCGGTTCCGGTTCCGGGCTGGGCCCGGACGGGCTTTTTTTGCATATCCTTGGGCGCGGAACCGGCCCGGGTTGATATCGGGCCCGGGTCGGGCCGGACCCGGTTCAATGTCTAATTTTTTTTTTTGCTTTCTTGTTATCCCCCGACCCCCCCCCCCTCACTCCCCACCCCCAAACCTACCCAAAACACTCAGCCCTACCCTAGGAAAAGAAAAAAAATTGAAAAAACAAAAAAATGACCCGGGCCCAGCCCGAACCGCCCGGGGCGGTTCGCCCAAAACTGGACCCGAGCCCGGCCCGCCCAAACGGGCTAAAAGCCCGGAACCGGCCAATCGGTCTCGGTCCGGGCCCGCACAGTAGCGTGCCGGGCCGGTTGAGTCCATCCCTAGAAGCAACCTGCTGCAAAAAGCAGCCTTTCTTATTGCAAAAAAAACGGCGGTTTGGGGTACACCGCTATTACCCAAACCAGAAAAATAAAAAAGCAAACATTTGGATTTATGGTAAATATTAAAGAAGAAAATGAGATATGGTGGAGAATGGATGATTATGTTGAGTTATGGGCGCGACAGAAATGGAAGCAGTTGGAATCCATTTTCTCCACCACAAAATGCCCAATCATCTCTTCCGACTTCACCAGATTTTCCCTGCACAAGAACTCATCACTCACCATCTTGTCCACCCTCTGATTATAATCATGAATAAGAACATGCGTTTTCGGGTTCCCGCCCTTTTTGCTCCGGGCAAGCACGCCGGCGGTGAAGATCGCCGACATTCTCCCCGGCGCCTCCGGCCAGTACCCACGTGGCCCGTCGACCAATATCACATCCCAGTCCACTTCATATAAGTTGTTGGGGAGATCATTGAGCCCAAGCTTACACTCCGAGAACAGAAGGTTCTGCACCGGCCGGCACTCGTTCCGAGATTGCCGTTTTACGGCGGAAATCAGAGCTTCGAATTCGCTCAATCTGGTCGTGTACTGAACGTCGTAGGCTTCGATTTCTGGGTATTTCTCCTCGAAGTAGGCGGCGTAGTATCTGTTCTCGTCGATGAACACCGTTTTGCCATTGCTGTTGAGAGCTTGCCAGAGAAGGGTCTCGTGAGTGAGGCCGAAAACGAGGAAATTGCACGGCGGAGAGCACTGCCGGAGGATGTCAGAGATCCATTTGATGTCAGCGTACGACATCCGGTCGGTGCTGTTGGATTCGGAAGCGTAATAGACAAGGGCCCTGGCCACCGATTTCGGGATCGGAGGATTGCCGCCGGTGACGGAGATGGTGGAGGACACGACTGGAACAGAGGGTTTCAGGATGTAATCTCGGGCGTAGAAGAGGGTGAGAAAGAACGCGCCTGAGAATAACGAAATAAAAGCAGCGAGCAGCCAAACGCGGCCTGAACATCCTCCTCCCTGTTTCTGAATGTGAGGGTGAAGAAGTATAAATTTGGTATGGCTGCCAAGATTATTGTTTTTCATCTTACTGATTTCTGCTCAAGATTGGCGTAATCTTGGAGAATGGAATGATAGAATATAATGGATTAATGGTGATGTGGGTTTAGAAGTAGAGCCGTTGAATGTGGAGATGGTGAGGAGTAAAGAAAATGGTGGGGTGTGAGTAGCGACTCTGCAACTAACAACCGGCGGCGGGTCGCTTTTTCGTGTTCATTCGTTTTCTTGTGATGCTTTTATTTCTATTTTTTAGGTTTAAATATTTTGTTGTATTTGTAAATACACATTTTATTTTAGGTTTTAGTGATTTTTTTTTGTTTTTTGATTATAATATATACTACTACTATTTTGTTTTTAGTTCATGTGTAATTCCCAAATTGATCTACATATGAAAAAAGTTATTGTCATTTGAATAAATCTACTAAAAACCAAGGGTGAACAAAAAACCCGAAAAACCGAAACCGACCGACAAACTGACCGAAATCGAACCGATCAAAATTGAAACCGCTCAAACCAAAACCGACTCAAACCGACTAATCATTGACGGTTCGGTTTACGGTTTCACCTTTTGGGTTAAAAAATCGGTCGAAACCGCCTGACAAACCGACAAAAACATGCTAAGACCGACCGAAACCGACACAAACCGACCGAAATTAACCGAATCGAAACACAACCGAAACAGGTAGTGCGGTTCGGTTTACGGTTTCACCTTTTCTAAAACCGAAACCGACCAAACCAAACCGACGAACACTCCTACTAAAAACATTTAAATCCATCCTTTTATTACCTTCGAATTAGGTGAGAACTGAGAAAATTAAAGGTTGTGTGGTTGATGTTTGTATAGAGGAGAGAGAAATGAACACAACACTAAATTATTTGATTTAATTGGAAAATGACGTTTTTTTTGAACAACCAAAAAGAAAACCAACATAAATTTGAGAGATGAAAATGTGGTATGGCTCCATATGAGGTGTTGCATGAGAGAAGGTGTAGAAAACTCATGACATGGTACGAGACTGAAGAGAATAAGGTACTATAAAAGCTGTTACAAGGTAGGACTCAATTGATTGATGAGACTTATGAAGCTATTAAGACCAACAGGCATAATATGGGATCAACTCAATGCAGCTAGAAAAGTGTTAGTACCAAATTTTGATAGATTTTGATGATGCCACTATACATAACATGTGTACATTATGTCTTATCTATTTGCATATAAATGTTCAAATGTGACAAAATAAATGTACAATTTTTTGAGATTAATAAAATTATGTTGGGAAGTTAAAATGCAATAAGGTAATTTTTATTTACCTTAAATAGGGTATTTAAATCCTATCAGTATAATTCTATTTGTACACAAAAAATTATAGTCACAAAATAAAAGATTCGAATGTCCTAAACCTTTGAATGATTGAAGACAAAACTTGATAGACATTTAATGCCTAATACGTACAAGGGACCTACAGCATGGGAAGCCTTTTTGGAGTGAAACTGCAACGACTGGAGACCACCCATGCCGCGACCCAATTATTCAAGACAAGGAAACAAAAACTATCAATGCTCAAGCACAAGAAGACGAATGTACAATTCGTCCTTGCCAGACCTTCAACGAACAAGATTGATCCATCCTAACCAACGGATGAGATCAATCAACCGGAGTTGCCTATAAATATAGGTTGAAACGAAAGTTTCTAACCAAGCTTGAGCATCCTAAGTAGAGAAATACTTCCATTAAAGCATATACGAGCTATGTAGCAAAAGAGAAAGTGCGAACTCAACTTTACTCTCTGCTTGGACTCGTGCTTCACTAAACTTCCAGTTTACAAGTATTCGTTGCTAAATCCTAGAAGTTTAGTTCCTAGTTGGCGGTTAGAACTTTCTTGTAAACAAATCACAAATTGTTGTAAACACTTAGGAGAACAGTTGTTCGGATCCTAAAGTGTGGTTAGATAGATAGAGTACCTTTTGATCCCCACTGGATCATTTGAGAAAAGTCTAAGGACTGAGTAACTTTGAGTGGTGTTATACTCATTGTGAAAAACCTTCAAGGCCTAAGTGCTGTAAAGGCTAGATTGACACTAACTGTATTGGGCTTAATACATTAGTGGAAATCCATCTGAAAGAGGGTGGGACTGGACGTAGGAAGATTACACCACCTCTGAACCAGGATATACTGTGTGTTGATTAACTTTCATTCAACAAAGCACACACCCAACACTTCTCACAAAAAGATTGTAGTTTGCCAGCAGCATTCTAAGCAGTAAGTCTTGATTAACCCTACTCCTTATCCTACTGCTTAATAACTCACTTTCTTTGAGACAATCTTTCCAACAAGAACCTTACAATATCACTACTAAAAGGTCTAGCTTATCACGTCTCAGAAATCCCTACTTAAGGCACACCAATTGCCTGAGCAGTCCCCTGGTGACTACCCAACTGCTGAGCCCACTGCTCATACAAAAGTACTTCATTGAACATCTCAAACTTCACCTCACCTTCACAACACTCCCACTAAGAAGTCTGTTCAAACTAATCTCTGAAACTCAGCGGGTGCCTCAGCAGTTCCCTCATTGCCACCCAACTGCCGAGACCACTGCTCCAGTAAAACTCCCAGTTACCTGTATTAAAACACATCTTCAGAAAGCCCTCATCACCCTGAGCAATATTATATAATCAGTCTTCTCATATCTTCACTTTCACTTAAGCAGTTACCTCAGCAGTTCCCTGGTCACTACCCAACTGATGAGACCTCTGCTCTCATTAAGATTGATTATCAACCCATCTTAATACATCATCAGAAAGCCATTTTCATTCTGATAAAGATTCTGCTTGCACTTTCACCATACACTCAATATTTCCTCAACAGTTGCCTCAGCAGTTCCCTGCCATCCAGTCCACTACTAAGCCAACTGCTCACTACATATAGTACAAAACTCATCCATCATAGAAAGTTGTTATACACTGTTTATCTAAGAGGTTACAGACTTCTGATGTGCATCTATAAATCTCCCAAAAGATTATAGATCAACTCATCTAGAAGGGAAAAGTTTTAAAGTTGAAAAAGCTTTAAAAGTCTATCCCCCCCTCTAGACTTTTACCTCTATCCGGGACCATCAAGTGGTATCAGAGCGAAGTGTTCCTAGAGTCAGTTTTTGACTAATTTGAACTAAAGATCTGAAACCACTCTACTTCCCAAACACTTTCTAGAAATGGACAGTCAGTTAGCAAAGAATCTTTTGTTCAACTTAAACAAATTTGATGACTGGAAGATAAGGATGAAAGCACATCTCAATGCCTGCATGATGAAATGCTAGAAGTGATTACAGGTGGACCTATCAAAATCATGAAGGTCAGCACATCTAAAACTGATGATCAAGAGGATGTGTACATTCCAAAACCCAAATTGGAATGGATAACTGAGGATAGGAAGAGAAACAATCTTGACAACATTGCCAAGGATATTATCTTCAAATCTGTTGATGAATCTATATTCCCAAGAATCGGGAAATGTGAAACTGCCAAGGATGTCTGGGATGAGCTCACAAAGATTGGAGCAGGAGATGAACAGGAGAAAGATAATAAGCTAACCATAGCCCTCAAGAAATTTGAGGATTTCGAAATGCTCCCAAATGAATCTATCCATGAGATGGAGTCAAGATTCCTGAAAATAGTGGCAGAGGTCTCTGACCTAGGGAAAGAATTATCTCAAAATGAGATTTCCCTCAAGGTCTTGAGAGGCTTGCCCTCAAAAGACGTGAAGGTGACTGCTATGAGAGATAGCAGAGATCTCAGAACTTTGTCAACTGATCACAAACTCTTTAGTGATCTTAAAGCGTATGAGTTTGAGATGAAGGAGATTAAAGATGAAAAGGAAAATGAATCCAAGGCACTAGCCTTAGTGTCCGAGCCAAACACATCAAGATCAAATGAAAAATCCCTCAACAATCTCCTCACTGATGAGCAGTTTGCTATGTTTGTGAGGAAGTTCAAAAGATTCATGAGAAAGGAGGGAACTGCCCCAAAGAAGCCTTACACAATCTGCCATCCGGGAGACAAGGAAGACCTCAATCCAATGAGGACATTGTCCTATGCTACAACTGTAGACAGCCAGGACATTACAAAAATGAGTGTCCTTTACCATTGGCACAAAAGTACCAAGGGTAGCAGGCAACTGCTCAAAAAGGTGGATACAAAAAGGACTTCAAAGGCAAGAGGCAAGCCTTTGTAAGTGAAAAGAGGAAGGAGGAATCCCAAAGTTATGAGGAGAGCAGCTCAAGTGATGAAAGCTCATCATCTGAAAGCTCAGAAGAAGCACTTATGTGCCTAAGATCCTGGCAGATGGCTGAAGAGAACGACAGTTGGCTCATTGAAGAAAGCAGCAGGTGGCTCAATGAGCCTTCCACCGGTGGGAGAGAAGATGATGAAAGTTGCTCCCCCATATGCCTAATGGCCAAAGACCACTACAATGATGTTGAGGTAACATCTTGCTCTTCCTGTAGCTTTAGTGATTCTTGACCAACCAATGTCACACTGGAATCTTTACTACAAGATTTCCAAAAAGACCAAGATCACCATGTTCTCTTAAGATTAGAAAATGATAGACTAAAATAAGACATTAAGGCTATTCATGCTAAGTTGTTAGATGCCTTAACCAAAAACAATGTCTTAGAAGAAGAGAACAAAGAGCTGAAAATCAAAATGAATAACTTCAGCGTGGATAGTAAAACCAGTGACCCAACTGCTGAAATTGTTCTAAATAGGAAGAGAAGAGGTCTCGGCTATGTATCTCCCACTAGACTCACTTAAAACTCACCCTCCACAAGCCATCAACAAAATACAAGAAAGTCAATCTACTAAAAGACCCATTCCCAAAATGTTCCCACAAGAAGGAACCTGCCTGCTCCCAAATCAAAATCCAAATTCCTGTATAAACAAACATTCCCCAACCATCAAAACCCAAGAACCCATTGGCAACCAACCAATAAGACCAACCACAGTCAAAACACTAAGCAATCCCCTCCAAAAGCAAATAATCCATTTCCCACATCAAGAAGGAAAAGGATTAACAAATACATAGTCATCTCCCATGACTATAACACATCAAATGGCTATAAACCA